GCTTTAAAGGGTTAATTGTGGAAGTGACAAAAAACACTCCTAGATCATCTTAAAACATTAATACATACATATATACACCGTATTTTCTGGACTCTAAGCCGCTACTTTTTTCCTAGGTTTTGAACCATGAGGCTTATACAAAGGTGTAATTATTATTAATTATTTTCAAATCCTCGCCCCTTCATCGTGGAAACCACACGAAGAAGTTCGTATGAGTGAGACGTTGGAGGCGGCAGCGGGAAGAGCTCATGCAATGCCAAAAGTCGAGAAAAGCTTTCAGAGGACATAAAAGCAGGTGGCCCGAACTTGAAAATGTCCTGGACTTGTATATCTTTTTTTTTTTTTTTTTAAATAGTGCGGATGCGGCTTATATACAGGTGCGCTCTATTGTCCAGAAAATACGGTACACACACACACACACACACACACACACACACACACACACCTCTGCCCTCGCTGCCAGTCTGCCTGCTTCAAGAATGAGACAACGCATCACAACACAAATCATATGCAAATGATTTAGCTGAAGCTTTTAACATTCATGTCATGCACTGTCTTCCATATGCACATTACCATAATGTATACCTTGTTTGAAAATCATATAAGCAAAATGTCAGAGTTTAAACCCACAAAATCAGTCTTCGTGCACCAAAATGCGTCTCCTCTTAGAGTCCTGTCGCCTTACAGTGTCAGAATTGAGGACATCAAAACCGGCTCCTCACAACACATAAATAGTCCCTGGAGGAGGGTCCCATTAGGGCCACTGAGTTTACAGCTGTGATCTGAATGCCCTGCGACCCCCTTTCAGTGCCGAAATAGGACACTCCTCCTCCCAGGTGACAGATTAATGAGGCCGCATGCCGGGATATAAACTGTATTGCTGACATTAGACATTAACCTCCCTCATGTCAGAGCTCGAGCCGCGCTGTTCGTATTCTCGAGGGCAGTGACGCTAGCGGCCAACTTGTCCGTCAATTACGGCTCCGATGACAAGGACTCAGCTGTCTTTTACCAAGATGAGAGGAAATCATCTCAATTGTTTGCGAGCGATTCCAGTAACTCTGAGTAGGTCGAATAGAATTACACATAAATATGTAACTACAATGGCTTTCATCCTTGCGTAACGCTGATACACCAGCTTACTATAAGTTGGTTCTTTTGCATCTGTTGGCTGCGCAGAACACTTTTGCACATTGAGCAAAAGCAAAAAATACCTCACACTATGAGTATCAGGGCATTACTGAGGTCATTTTGTTTCTTAAATCAAGGAGGTGGTCTCTAAAATTCAACAATTTGCATTTTGGACAGTACTGGGAAAATCTCACAAATATACAAAGACAATCTGAAGAGAGAATAAAAGGAAACAATGATTTTACAGCTTACTCTCTAAAAACGCAGGACGTGGTTCATCAGATTTGACTAACACTAACTCTAATAGTTCGTCCACTTCCCCTCACGCCAACATGTGCTTGTTCATAGGGGATCTTTGGATTGTTGGATTTCTGTCTGTAATGGCATTTGATGAGCTTTAGATGAACATTGTTTTAAATTTGCTCTGCATAAATAAAATGGATAGACTGCAGGATGTGCTGCGCACTCTGATCACGCGGCCTGGGGTTACACAGCAATGTGTCCCACAACAAGCTTTATGACAGGCAGCTTTCACACTGTCAGGAATCCATGGTGGTAACAGGCACTAAAGACAAACTATAGCTTAGGTTAGTAAGGAAGTTTTACAGGAAATTGGTGCTAAATGAAAACATTGGACAAATGTTCCTGCTTACTAGCTGGTGGTGCTGTAACATGCAGCCAGTAAAAGAAGTGCATTGAGGTGGACATAAAAAATCAGGATTAGCAGAGTCATTAGGATTCATCTTTTGTGGGTTATAAATGTGATTACAACATTTCTTGGTAGTTTGTTCAAAGTTTAATGGAAGACGTGCGCTGCAGACCGACTGAAAATAACTACACAAGTCTGAGAATTTGTTTCAGTTTGTAATATTTGACAGTTTAACGGCCGGTCTTGAAGACATTTCCTTGTGCCAAAAAAGACAACAGCGCACTTCAATACCCAGCCTATTAAAATTTAAAGATTTATTAATCAGACAAACTTTTTCTGTTCTATACTTAAGCTTACAGCATCATGTGGTGGTTGCAGTGAATTGCCACCGTCTCTTCTTAGATCAGTTCCCTTTAAACCTGCTTTCAATAAGCAATTCTGCACCACCAATCAAAAAGCTCTCTGCAGATTAATGCTCTTATTGGACAAATAAAACACAGTCTTGGTGACATCCTTTAAACTATAATCTTGTAACATGACAATTTTCCAAGTGTCCACCCTGACTGTTCCTCACAGCTGCCGTTTGCAGTTATATGTATAAATCGAAAGCAGAACATTCATCCCTCAGACACCAACTATCTGGCGTTTATCTCCTTTACTAACCAGAAGATATTCATGCCTCCTTACTCTGAGCTGGCAGATGTGCGGCAGCCGCTTTAGTGCCGTGCACAGGATCCTGCAGCTCCAGCTCCATGTAGTTGAGCTGCTTCTTGGACGTGGGGCTAACAGGAATATTCACATACGTCACACCTTCACCGCGAGGTCTTTCAGCAAGCGGAGCCTCTGGGGGGAACACAAACACAGCCCCTGAAAATGCGAGAGTAAATTAAGCTCAGACGGTGTTAGGTTCGTTTCTGTCATGCTTTTTCTTTTTTTAACGTGTGAACACTTTGTTTTTAACAAAAATCCCCCACAGAAACTAAAAATAACAAGCAATTTGTCCTGTTGATAATATACTATGGTTTTTTTTGCACCTCCAAGCCTTCACTGTCAACTAAAATCTATTAAAAACATAAAAGAACAATGCCACCTGGGTTCAGCACAATGAACACACACTACACGTATTTCTAGATTCACTTGTGTTTTCTAGACAGTTTGTGTTTCTTATTATGATAAATGCTGCCCGAGTGCAACAGCCCATGTTTAGATTTCCTGTCGTGAGGATTCCCGTGGCACAGAGAGACAAGCTCAAACGGGCTATGCCGGCACACAGTACCAATCAAGTCTTTCTCAGAACTGATAATAATTAAAAGATTAAATTGAACCATACTTACACTTTGACACTTCTTTGAAACTGGATTTGTTTTTGTCATTATAACCTTAATCAAAAGCTAAACTTACCCTCCAGTCTGAGCAGCTCTCCAGGCTGCAGCCCAGTGTCAGTTAGATTTATTCAAATACAGACGTCCACAACACAAGTAGCAATACTGTTTCCAGCAGTAAAAACAACGGTAGCTTTAATGGGATCGGCAGTCGCACAGGAACACAGCGTTTCACGATGAATTGGTTCTCTCCCCGCCCCAGAGACTAATTATGGTGAAATTAGCTGATATGCCCCAGAGATAATTTATGGGCTACACATTACGTCCTCGAAGCACAGAATGCTTTGAGGAAGTAAAACTCAATTGTTCTTTTAATCATCATCAAGCTGTTTTGTCATGTGGCTGTATAGTGTATGAACGTGTCCAGATCAAATATCTGAGGGTTTATGGAGCAAAATCTCATTTTTCTATTAGCAAAAGTTCATTAAAACTTGAATAGGAACACCCAAACCTCTTTGATTTCCCTGTCAAACACACATTATTGCCAGATTTTTTGCCTACAGTGGATTGCACATCTAATTAATTGTGCCGGAAAAATAGTTTCAAATCACAAGAAACAGCTCACAGCTTTATCTTCATAAAGCTAAAAGCTGAAAAAGGCAGATTTGCAGTCAAGTTTTCTGCTGGCTGCAGAAATGATTAGTTCAGCATCTCAGTGATACAGCTTCAGAACAACCACTACATAAAATATGTGCATATTTCAGCTCTGTGACACACATCACATATTTTTTTTTTTTTTTGTGGTGCCTGGGTATGCATTAATGCAGTGATAGCTGCAACCTTCAAAACCAGAGTATAGTACACTCAAGGATATCTTGAAATTACCATAACTTGAATACTGCTCTGTGAATAGAGACCAGTGAAAATCACTTCTCCTGAACGGTGATATAAACGTTTGCTGTCACTTTAATTTTGTGCAAATGAGAGTCAAGAAAGCCAAATGAATCTACATGCTTTGTGGTTTTACTACAACAAGTACTGCAGTACTGTTCATAGGAATCATCTAACCCGGTTGATGGGCTTACATGACAGGTACAAAAAGTTGTCTACAAGCACAAAATAGATGAGCCAGTCACACACTATCAGAGTTTCGATGTATAAATATCTGTTTTGTTGTTTTTAACACATTTGCCCATTTAAATTTGTTGGGACAGGGGCATGATTATCAGCACGGCGTCTGGGAACTAAGGGAAAGAATTACTATAATGTTGAAATATAAACATTTTCACAGACTCACCTAAAATTCATTGTTTCATAATGCACCAAATCCGATCTATACATTGGATACATCCAATTTTCAGACACCTTCACTTTGATGTTTTCTTGTAAACATGCAGAATGTTGTTTGGCATCGCAGGCTGGACTTTTCCCTGATAATCAAATCATCTGCATGGCAGCATATGTTGCTCCAAAAGCTGTGTCTATTTTTCAACATATTGTTAGTGGTGCCTCCAAACATGTTACTCATGCTATGTGCATTAATGACCCTTTATACCATCACAGATGCTGGCTTTTTAACTGCGTGCTGACAGCAAGCCAGATGTTGCCTCTCATCTTTAGCGGTCCATAACTTAAAAAAAGGAAAGATTTTGAGACCCGAGGACTGTTTTCCAACTGAACTCAGAGCGTGGAAGGAAGAACTCTAATCTATCCTCAATCACAGAGCACGAGGGGTCACTGAATGTTTGATGAGCATGTAAGTCGTACACTATGGCCTGCAGTGACCACATAACAACAGTGCCAACTCACATGTTTGCACTCAATGATTATCATAAACGCATCATATACTCCAGTCCTTGTAGCTGTAGCTGCAATTCAAGTCCTTAATAAACCCAACATAGAGTTGACACAGGACCTGAGAGATGCATATGGGCCTTCAGGTTATCCATCGACTGTTCACTGAAGCTTCATCAGAAATGGTTTAAGTGGAAGCGTTGCTGTCAAGAAGCCACTCTTAAAGAAGGGAAACAGGAAGAAAAAGGCTAAAGTATCCGAATTATGCAACAGCTGAACTAAGAATCAGTGGAGTGGGCCTCATGGAGTGATGAAACTAAAGCTGAAATGTTTTTGTTCAAACATGGAGAAGTTCAGGAGATAGAGACAACAGTGAGTATCTATAGCCATTTACAAAACATGGCGAATACTGTGTCATGGTTCGAGGCTGTATTTCTGCCAGTGGTGTTGGATCATGATAAGGCAATTCCATCAACTTGTGAAAGTTGGAACAGGCCCTGCAGGCTCATTACTGCTTCCAAAAAGAAAAAAGTCAGCAGCATAATCAGCCCATTCTCACTCCCGAGGCATAACATGCCGACGTTTTGTCACGTCCCGCGGCATTCCTGAGGAACGCGAAAGGAGACCTTCGGCGTTCTTATGGTACACGGCGGGTTATGGCTGAAATCCAGTGCAATGACCTTAACCAGGACTTTAATGACGTTAAATAGCTTGTTTGTAAGCGATTTGAAGAAAAAGAGCAAACATGTGTAGATTGAGTCCAGACGGTTCTCATATTTCCTCATTTTTCCAAGGTCGTCATTTAGGAACGTGGTGGGCAGCCGAAAACGTAATATGTTGACGATTTGTCACCTAGCGTAAAATGTTACGCTTTGGGAGTGAGAACGTGTTGCGGCGTGTTGGCATAATGTGGTTGTTTCTGTCCTGGATGCAGTTTTCGACGTTGCACACAAAGACCATTTATCTCGTCTTTGTTCATATCCACGTTCTAGACTGTGTCGCCATTTCCCTCCTCTGACACGAGAACTGAAAACAGTTGATCGTTGCAAGAGTGCAAGAAACAATAAGTGGGATCAATTGGCAGGCAGACTGACAATCCCAAGGAATTGGAAGACTGGGAACAGGAACCAGTTTACAATTCCCATCCCTATTGTTCATGGATATCTTTTTTATCTGCTGATTTTTGAAATGCAATGCAAAACTGATCAAATGATTAACTAATTATTTAATACTATAGTTTCACTTTATTTTCAGCACTATTAAAAAAATATGAAAAAACACACAAAGTCTCGTATTCATTGTGTACAAAGTGGAGTCCAAACAGTAAATCATATATAATTTCTTTGAAATTATTTTAGGGAAAAACAATATCTGTTTTTATATTAATATCTGACCCCCCAAAAAAGAGTGAATTGTTGAAAAACGCACCAATGCAAATACATTTTTCCCTGATTTACCCTCAAGGATCATAGTTGAGCTACAATACACAAACAGAGCCTGTGTTATCTTTTTCAAGTATAATGTCAACAAAAAATGTTTCATCATCAACTAAAAAGAAAACAAAAAGAATTCAAAAAGCCCAGACCCTTACAGACGCACTGTGTTCCTAACAATGCAAACACTGCTGATCTGAGCCTGTGAACATTTATTTACCTTTCTTTGAGTCCGTTGCTGTGTGTGCATTGATGTTTAAAGATTAAAGAGTAGATCTGGATCACAGAAAAGATTGTTTTTATCTTCTGTCATTATTAGTCAAAGCAACACAAAGCAGCTTGGTTGAGGGCATTTCACAACTACAAACAGAAACACTAATCAGAGTGTGGACTGTGTAGTAGAATGTCTATAACCATCTTATAGTAAATAAAACAATGGATTCCTACAGTATTATATATGCGCCAACATGGATTCATATTTCTCTTGTTGCAATTACCCTGTCACAGATGCGTTACCATTGGCATACAGATTGTATAGAAGACAACATTTGGGAAAGAAAAGATTTCCCCTGCTATTGACTCTTCCTAAATGGCAGTAGGCAGTGGCCATTACCCGCAGCTCAGAAGCATCAACCCCAGGGGACACTCTTAAAATCAGTGAGAAGCCATTAGACGCCAGCAAAGTCTCAGTGGGTACAGCCTTTGGCAAAGTCTAACCTAATTGATCAGACACCAACCAGCCCTTGCAGGAGAGAGTGGTGCTTTATAATGGCTTCCATTACAACAGTGGATTTGCCCGCAGCTCTAAGGCCGGGGGACGTCTCGATAATACACTTTGCAAAACCTCCAGGGGAGAAGTTAGAGGCAATACCTGACAGAGTTTAGTGACCCCCCAGCTTAAAAAGTCAAGTGCTTTTGGATGGAAAACACAGTTCAGATAATAACTGTGTATTCAGGGTGAGTGGGTTTTGCACCTTTCCCACATTATTGTTGCAGAAGGACACTAAGCTGTGGTATGTACACGAAAAGGATTACAAAGACCTGTAAACCTCCCACAATGTACAATTTATGGCAACGTATGCATGTGGAAACCTTTGGGAATGGGAAAGCAAAATGCCCTAGTGTAGGTGTTTGTTTTTCTTTGACTATAACACCTTACCATTTCTCTCCCTCTCCAGTTTCAGCTTTAAATGAGACCTTCACCAGGACAACAACATCCACTTTTTGATGTGATAAACTTATGTAAAAAGTTGAAGAGGCGGGTGTGTGAAATTAAAATAGAGTTTTTGAGAGCAAGACTACATCACAGATGTGCACGAGCCACAAAGACGGTCCTACCAAAATCCTATTTATTATAGTATAGTCTATGTGGTCCTTAGTAAAGGCTGATTTTTAGAAATCAAAACTTGGAGGGCACCAAAGCAAAGGTGGCCCCTTTTAAAGAAATTATTCAGATCTGCACCAAAAATTATAGTTTCATGAAACTTGGCCTGACAGTTTTTGCGTAATCTTGAAAACATGTCAAAGAATATTATTTGAATAATACACAGATTTATAGACGACATACTGTTTAGACCTTGCAAAGTTTCAGGTGGAAAACCATCTTCTTTCGATAATGTCTGCACTGTATCAAGCGTAAAGCACGGAGGGGGAGGGATGATGATTTTTGCTTGTTTGGTAGTCATGGGACCTGATTATGAACTCTTCTGTGTACTAAAGTATTCCAGTGAAGCAATCTGTCTGACAGCCAAAGCGTGTCTCGAACTGACTCAAACAACTGGGCAATGAGCCCAAAGACAGCAACAAACCTACAACAGCACGGCTGAAAAGGAAAAGAATCAAGGTGAAGCAATGAGTCCAAGTCCAGACCTGAACCTAACTGAAATACTGTGATAGGTACATAAAGAGCTGTGCCTAAACAAATGCCCGGAAACCTCAATGAATTAAAGCAACATTATAAAGAAGATTCAAGTAATTCAAGGGTTCAAACTAACTGCTTACTTTGGTGTCACGCCGTTGGCAGGTTTTTGATTACGATGCCTCTTCCGCTGAACTTGGAAAGAAGCTCCTGCCTGTGAGCTAAAAGCTTTAGCATAATATGGTGTATTTGTATTAATTCCCACCTGAGACTTGGTGGTAATCATTTTAATATCAATGAGATACTCTCTTCATGTCAGCACCAGTGTGAGTATTTCAGTGGGAAACAAAGAGTAGGAGATAAATTCAATAAACAGTGAAATTTAAATAATTAAAGACAACATAATGGCTATGGGCTGGTTCTACAAATATCATTTCAGAAATGGATTAGCAGTGTTTAGCCTAAACTGTCCTTAGGTGCAATTCACACCTCTCCAAGCCAACCATTTAATGTGTAACATGTAATGACCAACACAGCAGCATCTAAAGTGCCACGGGCAAAGCTGTGTTTGTTTAGCTGCGTTCTGATACAGTGATGCACTCGTGATGCAAGCATGTGTGTGTCCGCTTGCATTTTTCATCACATAGTGCTATGATTTATTGCAAAGTCTGGAATGCCTCAAACCTGATATTTTATTTATTTGACCTGTGTGCATTGCTTTAATATGAAAAGTTCTTAAATCATAAAACAGCTTTTCTGTAGCTCATCTTCCACTAAGGCCACATACCTTAGCTGCTGGACTTAGCCACATCCGGTCTGCCCCCCATCCATTAAGTGTCTGCTGAAGCGGGATGATGGGAAAGATGACGAGGGAGTCGTGAGTCGTTGTGTGTAGGTAGGTGAAAATGACTGATGGGTTTGGTGCCACACTGCGACAGCTGCTGGGACTTTGTAGAGCAGGTGTGTGTTTGACTGAGGGCATGTTTCTGGGTGTGGGATGCTTAAGTGGCCAAACGTCCCCTGACAACTGTCCTCTCGCCTCATATCAGGGGAGGCAGCCCGTCACACATCACTGCACTCTCTGGTTACACATCTGTGAGTTTTCTCAGCACACAATGGGCCTTTACGTAACTCGAGTTTATGGCTTTGGATAAAATGCCAATGAAGACATAAAAAAAAAACCAAATAGCAAAGACTGTGACTCATGCCGTTGTCTGTTTTGCATGCGATTTATCTGTCTAACCATAGATGGGGTAAATTAATGCCATTTTAAATTACACCTCTGTTTAGCCCTAATTTGTCCCTTTGTGTATTCATTCCCACATTGGAAAGAAACAAAAGGACACAATGATGTGCAAAAAAAAAAAGAAAAAAAGAAAAAAAAAAAAGGAAAAACAAAACAAAACAGCCAAATGCTGAAATTAACCTCGGGTAAACATCACATTAATTTAATATTAATTTGGTATTTGGACCTCAGGCTTTACGGTTCCTTTTAAACAAATAAAAGCTATAGCGCTTGCATAGCATTTCTTTAATTAGTATCAACTTAACAAAAAGGGAACTGCTTTGGAAAGTTTTACAAATTTCTTAGAACTTTTTCCTTTAAAAGCAGGTCATTAGTAAAATGTGCGCTAAAAGCTCAACAGTATAACTCTTAAAGTTCAAAGATTGAATACTCTCTCATATCCTTTTACTACTTTACATTATCTACAAGAGAAGTGTGTCTGGAAGTTTTGCCACACAGTAGCCATCGTATTTATTTGTGCAGTTATTTCGACGCCCCTATCTGAATAAATAGGAGGTTCGGCTTTAATTTCAGTGGTAATCAGGCCAGGATCAGGAACAGAACCAACTAGTCATGGAGTCAGTCACTTCCTTTAAGTCCTGTTTTAATACATATGTATATACTATAGATACATATCTCTCTTTTATTTCCTCAATATTCAAATTTCTAACATTTTCAGTGTATTGGTCTTCAGTGTTTCTTTTATCATTACCAATTGTTTGTTTTATGTTTGTTTTTGTACACATTTTGTAAAGTCTTATATAAATAAAATACATTCATGTTTTAAAAAGTTTAAATTATCAGTATGTATAGAGGAGGTCAGCTGAGTGGAACCCTGTAAAATACAGTGGAGCCTCTGTCCTGGTTTGGAGTTATAATTCAGCCAGTGGTGTAGGGATCTTGTCAAAATTGATAAAATTATGAACACAAAAAGTAACATCAGACTTTTATCATCCACGCAATAGCATCAGGAAAGGCTTCATTTTTTAGTATAACAATGATCTCAAGCACACTGCCAATGCAGTAAAAGATAGACAGACCTGGATAGAAAAACTCATAATCAGACACCATCAGTCATCAATTGGCTTCCCCAGAGCCCAGAGCTCAACATTATTAAAGCAGTGTAGCTTTTTTCCATACAGTGACTTTTACTACAATGCGAATTTGCAATGAAAAGGCTTAAAAATTTAGCAGCAACAAATTTCTCCATACAAACTAGTTTGCATGGCACAACTATTTTACATGTAATAAAGTGCTAATTCCCCCTTTGTTTAAACTAATCTGACAGCTGGTGCTTGCAGAGAGTCTCTGTAATGCGCTTCATGTGCTATGTAGTAATAGCCACTTCATGAAGGCAATTCCCCATCAGCATTACAGTTCACTGCCCTGACTGAAGTCAAGCAGGTGTATGGCAAGCGCGCCGAGGTATAACATCTTCCTATGTTCAGCCATGTGGATGTTATGCTTAGTGCCAGTCTGCTTTTCATACTCTGAATGAGCTTCGTTTTATTTATTCATTTCAAGCAACAGGTAATGGTTTACAGCGATGTTGATTCAGGCGCATGACTCATCAATTTAATTCACTTTCCGTAAGTGGGCCCGGTTATTGTAAGAAGCCTGGGTAATGCACAGCTGAAAAGTGTTCAGAGCACTTTAAAAAACGAAAATGGTCCATTCAGAAAAAGAAAAATCCATTTGTGCCGCTACGGACTTGAAAATCTGCATATGTTTGAATAGCCTGGCTGAAGAAAAAAAAAAATGAACCAAATCGCTGAAACAGCCTGGTGATGTTGATTGCCTGGCGTCAGTCTCACTCACCTTCAGTCTCTTGAAGGAACCTCTGCTGGCCGTAGCTGCCCATTAGTTCATACTTGTGTTTTTCCTGTGCCTGCAACACACATTAAAGTAAGCACTGCTGATTATAACTTGCACTGAGTGACATAAGTTTATTACATAAGTGTGACGATGACTGTTCAGTGGGCACATGAGGAGTATTTATAGACATTTGGAATTTACTCAGAACTCAGGGCTATCTTACATGTGTGAACACTGTGCAGCATCGCTACAGACAGATAACCATGAACTTTAGGCCCACTGCAGTGCAGAGCATTAAATAAGATTGTGCTTCAGTTTTAGTGAGTTTACCCATGTCTGTATGATGAACTGTTAGCATTAAATGCTAACATTACCTGATATGCTTTTCTTTGTTTTTGTATTGTTCAGCACTTTGGTCTGCCTGGTGCCTTTTTAAAGTGCTATATAAATAAATGACGACAACGATGATGATGATGATGATATTTAGCACTTTACTCTCTCCGCTATAGATGTTAATATTAAAGTTTAAAAATACAGAGTCCAGACACTAGTAGGTGACATAATGGTAGCCATCTTTTACAGTCACATAAAAAAAAGAACGACAGCACAGGACAAACATGAACATGTAATACGCTTGCAGTAAGTGAAAGTAACTGTTCCGTGTGTGACTTTATCAGTGTCTCACATTGCTGTGGAGGAATTCTGGCCCACACTTCTTTACAATGCCACTTCAGCTCATTGAGATCTACTATTGAGATCATTTATGCACAGCCCTCTTGAGGTCCCACCACATCCTTTCATTAAGGGTGGAATCTTGACTTTGACAGGATGATTGCAGCACCTTGATTCTTTTGTTTTTCAGTCATACTGTTGTAGATTTGCTGCTGTGCTCGGGATCACTGCCCTGTTGCATGTCTTTAACATTTAAAATCCTAACTGAGGCCGTTAAGGTGTAAGGTGTAGCTCTTGGGCTTTTTGCAGTTTCTCTGAGCACTGCACAATCGGACCTTGGGGTGAGTTTGCTGGGAAGTCCACTCCTGGGAAGAATTCCAGCCATCCTGAGTATTTTCTGGTTGTCAATAGTCTGCTGCAGAATGATGGATTTCAAAATGTTTTGAAATACCCCAGAACTCTTCTCCGACTGATGAGCAGCAACAACTGCTTGTTTAAGATCACTGCTGATATCTTTTCCTGTGTGTTATGCATCAAACCAAGAAACTGCCAAAACGTCTGCTTTTTGTTCATGCTTGATGATGATCACATAATCAAGTGTATTTGCGGCTGCTGCTTACCCTCTTAGTTCTTGTGTATGTTTTTCACACAACTGTGAAAAACTCTCTTACACACGACTGTATATAAAATCTATATCCTGGAGAGAATTTGTAAACATAATAGTGATGTAATCATGCAAGATACTGTCACAAAACTGAGCAAGCACACGAGAACGAGTGCATTAAATACATTGTTTTCATGCTAAAACTTCAGTTCATTATAGAGAAAATACAAACCCTTAAACTCGCTTATTCTAATCCAAATGCTTAATAATATCAGGACAATAGGCTCAAAACTACAAAATGCTTATTGGACATATTTTTCCATGTCTAATTTCAGATTTACTACTGAAGCTTCTTAATAACAAACCTCTATGGGTTGCCCTTTATTCTGTGTATTCAGTTAATATTCTCATGATATCAGACATTTCCCCCAAATGCTTAGCTGAAGTAAGAGCACAATGAGTTGCAAAGTAAAAATGTGTGAGTTGTTGATAGTGTAAAGCGGATTACAGTGTTTTGGATGTGTCTACCTCTGGGTTCCTCTCCAGCATCCGACTCTCCATGATCTCATAAGCAGGATCGGCTCTGCGTCTTTCCTCTTTACTACTAAGCCTTTTGTCTGGTGAAAGAGACGATATTGTGCATTTTAAATATAAGAAACAAAAACGCATTTTGTTATTGTAACTCATCGGAAGAAAATTATACCACATTGTGTTGCTTTCTTTTCTTTTTTTCTTTAAATGCACTTTGTGAACCAAAGCGGACACAATTTTCTCCATGCAAATGGAGGAATTCGTGCAGATTGAGTGGTGAGAACAAACAACAAAGGCTTGATTCATCATCACACAATACTAAGAGTTTTTTCTTTTTTCTTTTAAAGAACAAATAGTTAAATAGGATCCTTTTGTTACTCAGTATGAATCATGGATAATGTGCAAAGGACAGAAATTGCACCCTGAATTTTGTTAAAATGTTTAAGATGTGTCATTTTGGCTTCATTTACTGTCAATATTTATAGATATAAATATCTTTAAAAGAAAAGAAATTTATCATGTTGTCATCATTTGATTTGTGGAACAAATAATAACAGGCCCCATCCTAAAATTTACTTATAACACACATATATAATTCCAACAATAGATTAATAAATGGTTACTCCTTTCCTAAAAAGTGATCTTTCTGTGCTAACAAAAAACTTTTAAAACTTTACAGATGACATTTCATTTAAAAAGTCTTCGTTAATCTTTCTGTAAACAGGATTAAATTCACGAGAGACCACTTACACCCACTGGCCACTTTATTAGGTATAATGTTCAACTGATCAGTGATACAAATGTCTAATCAGCCAATCACACGGCAGCAGCTCAGTGCATTCAGACATGGTCAAGACGACCTGCTGAAGTTTAAACTGAGCATCAGAATGAGGAAGAAAGATGATGATTTAAGAGACATTTGACATGGCACTGTTGTTGTAGCTGAAGCTACACTTCACACAAGCTCACTAAAACTGGATACTAAAATATTAGAAAAACAGTGTCTACTCTGATGAGTTTTGAAGGGTCAGAATTTGGTGTAAATAACGTGAAAACGTGTATCCGTCCTCCCTTGTATCAACAGTTCAGGCTGCCGGTGGTGTAATGGTATGGAGGACATGTTCTTTGCACACTTTGATCCCCTTAGTACAAACTGAGCATCATCTAAACACCACAGCCTACCTGACCGTTGATGCTGAACATATCCATCCCTTTATGACCAGTGTACACTAATGGGAGGATAACACACCATGTCACAAAGCTCAAATCATCTCAAACATTCCCATGAAAATAAGTTCATTGTACTCAAATGACCTCCATAGTCACCAGAGCTTAATCCAACAAAGCACCTTCAGGATGTGAAGGAACAGGAGTTTCCCATCATGGATGTGCAGCCAACAAATCTGCAGCTACTGTGTTACACTATAATTTCAACATGAACCAAAATCTCTGAGGAATGTTTCCAGCACCTTGTTGAATCTGTGCCATGAAGAATTCAGAACGCACTGAAGGCAAACGAGGGGCTCCAACACAGTATTACCAAGGTGTACCTGATAAAGTGGCCAGTGAGCGTATAAACCCTCTAAAAGTTGTGTCATTTTTTATTACACTTCTGCGAGAATACATGCATGGCACTAGAAATACCCAGGCAATGTAACGTAATGGTCAAAGTGTTTAGTGTTGGTTTCTGTGCACCTTTGCCATGTTAACTACAGAGGTAGAGGCAGTGAAGAGACCACCATGAGAAGAGGATGTATTACTAATGCTAAAGCTGAAGCTAAAATTATGGACGTTGTTGACAGCAGTAGTTGCTATCAAACAGTAGCATTGCTCATAAGGCTTTTTGTGGCTTTGTTCAGTGTTGTACGTAAACATCTTCAATGCAAAAGTACCACAACCACAACAACAGTTAACGATCACAGTTAACTACTGCAAACTTCCAAAAAGGACACAATCTGCTGTGTTTGATTTGAGACATGACTCTCTCTCTCTCTCTCTCTCTCTCTGCTCTAGCAGGTAAAAGACTGACTGTAAATGACTGAGTTGGTGCACAGTGACAGTCTTCAGGATAAACTATCATTCCTGATTTTGCAACTTTGCGGCAAAGCTCACCTCAAAGCTCAGCTCTACAAAGCAACACAAGTGACTGATAAGAGAAAATAAGCCAGGAAGAAAGAGTGGTTTTACTGAGAGAAACACAAGGAATGGGACAGAAAAAGATCCTCAAAAGAAACAGAATGGGGAAAAAGAGGAAGCCAGCCAAGGATCTGAAGTTTGCGATCAGTTGAAGAGGAAACTGTCGAAGGTGGCCTCTTACCTTCACTGGTCACCGTCGATCCATTTATCTCTTCATACCAACACTGCCCATCCGTGCTCAGTGATGAATCGTTTAGGGCTTGGTACAGTAACTCCTCATTAGCTGGATGTTCTTGGCTTTTCTTCAGGTGCAGCCAAGTCGGAAAGCTTTTTAAAGGGGAAATGTTCCTGTTGCGCCACTTTTGAGCGGGCACCGCCCGTGGTGGAGGCTGGCAGTGCTCTCCTTGACACTTCAAACAGTTTTCATAAATGACAGCTCTTTTGTCTTGCAATGGTACTGCTGATGCCAAATTAAGCTCATTACCAAAAGCAGGGCTCATTGACTCATACAGGTTCAATCTGTGTGTCTTTGCCTCTGGCTGGCTATCTGTGCCTGGAAAGCCGAGCAGATCAGCTAAAAGACAGGCTAATTTCTCTCTTCCTTTTTTTGGCAGCCGTGACTCCTCACTCATCTTCACAGTTGGCATCTCCGCACTGTGGACAATTTCAGAGCCAGGAGAGGTCTCCTGAATTTTCATCTCCGCAACAGCGTGTTCACTGGTACTGGGTCTGCATGGTGATTTGTCACCACTTTGATCTGCTGGATTGAAAATATGATGTTCTGGAGGCAAAAAAAAAACAAAAAACAAAAAAAACCTACAACAACTTTGATTTCTGTCCCAAATCAAAACAGCAAGCTGTGGCTGCTACATCAATGTTTTTTGCCCAGCGTGCTTTAAAACCGTTTATGCATGCAAGAGAAACCACACGCAGCGTGCATGCACTTCAGAGGAGTATCCTTACCTGGTGTGGCAGGTATCACTGAAGAACTACAAGGGCTGTATGGACTCCCCTGTGAAATATTGACAAAAAAAATGACTTTTATTTTAACAGTCCACTCTAGTATTGAAATATGAGGGAAAGGCTCGCAATGACCTACATTTTAGTTTATTTTTTGTCAACAAAGTTGACAAAAAAGAACAAAAGTGACTCAGGGACTTCACGCTTCAACAGCCTGGCTATGGCTCACAAGCCCACTGCTTCCTTTGAGAACAAAAATCTTTAAAATGACTCAAAATTATATATTTAGATATTTTATATATTTTAGACCAACGGAAAATACAGAGCTGATTTATTTTTTTTTATCTAGCCAATCAAACAAATGCAGCTTGCACTCTTAAATAAATGCACTGCCAGCAGGTGGAGCTCTCTGTATTGAGTAAAAGTGACTAATAAGGAACAGAAAAAACCCGCAGTTACTTTTGTACCTGAAAGCAGCAAGCCATCAGATAATGCACTGTATATGTGTATAACTCCCTGTTACTCCAAAAGGCAACAAATGATTAATCCTTAAGCCATCGCTGGCCAATCAGAACATGCATTATGTATCATGCAATTCTGAAAAAGCAAAAAAGGCCAAACTGTCTCCAATTCTAGCCCTGAATGAATTACAATAAGTACTTTATCAACATAATATGCACAAAAGTTTTGTGAAAATAGTCCCCAGATTCATTAATAAGATAAATAATTATCAGCTGTACCCCTTACAAAGACTACACTCTGAAAAAGAAAAATTCACACCAACTCTGACACCACAGAAGAAGTCAGCCAAAGCCAAAGCTCAAACAAAGAATACCACCAAAGTCTGTACTTGAGTATTTAAAAAAAAACAGCAAAATAGTTCGGCGCTCTCAGGCGAGTGAAGCACGCACGGAGTTAAACAGCTTGAAGTGAGCCTAAAGGGCGTTAAAGGCATTAAATAAAGATTGTGTGTTTTGACCTAGATATGCATACACAGATATACAGATGCAGAGGTGTAATAAGGATAGAAAATTGCAAGTCACTCATAACTTACAAGGTGTGAATCTGCCATATTCAGTGACAGTGTAAAACTGAACTGGGTGCAGAAACACTAACGTGTTGGACAGATGGGCCGTGGGACTGTTAGTTGTTCTGACACCAAACGCAGCGCGGCATCACCGTCAGCCCGCACGATACCACAAAGGTCACACTGACAAGCGGGCTACAGAACAGATGATACACTGATGATAAAGCCTGTGCACACAAGCTGCTACTGCGTGACAGCAGGTTATACAATGGAGCGTGTTCACGAGACCATTTGAACAGGACTGATGACTTTTTTGCCTTCGTTTTTTGAAGTTTGATGGAAAAACAGATGGTTCATGAGAGCAGCTACGCTTGCTTAACCCAGATCTGATCAACATTCCCTTTTGCCAGAAAACAAACAGAATACTTCTGTTTCCACTTACCTTAACTCCACCGCATACAGAGCAGATGGTCACGATGGTTTTGGAGACAGAAGTGAGGGAGGTGCAGGTATTACAAGAGTCACTAGAGGGTGCCACCTTGGTTTTCTTATTCGTCACTGAAAGGCCCTGCAAGAGTTCACTGACTGACTGACTTTCAGTAGCTTCTGAGTGAGCCTCAGGGGTTGTGGCACTGCTCTTGTCCTGCTTTGCTGCCTCTGCCGTGAACCCTAAAAGGGCTGCAGGGTCTTTAGTTGCGGCGGAGGCTTCATTGTCTTTGGCACCTCCACCTGCTTCCTGTAAAACACTCCTGGGAGTGTCATAGACATACCTAAGTGAAGTTGGCACCTGGTAGTCATGTCCAGGAACAGCAGGGCAAGTGCAAGGGCTGAGATCTTGAGCCAAATGTGGAGGCAAGCTTAAAAAAGAACCAAAGTCCTCTCCGGGGGTCATATCCAGACTGCCTGTGTAGGAGGAGAAACTGCCAGTGTACGAGGAATGGCTGCCAGTGGCGATGCCACTGTCTGATGAGCTCTGACGACCGATTTCCTGAAGTTGCCGGGGCGGCTTAGCCGCAGGCCGGTGTCCACCTCCCTGGTTGGCGGAAAGCTTCTCGCTGATCTGCAGTGGCACTTTAGCGCCCGTGTGGCTGACGTTTTCAGGTGGGTTGGAAGCCGGTTCAGTCCAAATTCCCAGCCGGCTGCCAATGCTGCAGTCTGAGTGGCTGGTGTCTGAAGTGTCAGAAGAACCAGAAATGCTGCGGTCGTCGCCCCCAGCAGACGGGCAGTAAGCCAAAGAGACTGCCAAGACGAGCAGAACATAATTAAACCTTTGACGAATTTAATCAACAAAAACACTGCTTTCATCAACAAAGCACATTAAGGAATCATGACGCACTGTCTTTGCCTCAGTCTTTTTGTCTTCCACTTAACGGAACAATAAATCAAAGCACCTGCCAGCGCACCCAAAAACTTTGGTCGTGTTTTCTACCTGTGCCACTCCCATGAGAGAGCATGCTCAGTCGTTTCTCTAGCTCCTGGGCCTCGAGGTTCAGCTTTTCCTCTGAAGTGGTCTGGCTGCCACTGGGATCTGTAAAAAACAAAGGGCTGTATTATAAATAGCAGCCAGCATGATCTCAATCATGAAAAGTCGGGCAGAGAAAAATGAAGTGTAAGTGCTAAGTGTGATGAATCTCGACACTGTCAATGAGATATGGGATCAAATGTGACGTAGCTGAACCGCGGCGGTGACACGGGCACAGCTGCGAAAACACATCCAGCTACTCTAAAGACATGAGAGGGGACACTCTAAACTGCAACGGTCTCACTCAACTGTCTGTGAACGAGCAAACAGTGTCAGCCACAAGGTGTAAGTGAAAAGGAGTAAACAACTTTGCGGACGTGTGCTATTATTTGATCCCTGAGTGTAGCGTGCTGTTGGACAGGCAGAGAAAAGGGTCACACAGGGGAACACCTAGCAGTATTTGTGCAACACTGAGGGGTGTATTAATAGTGCTGCCACGTGGCTCTGCTGGTACGCGTTCTGCTGCTGGCGGCAGTGCATGAATCTAATGCGCCTTGGACCATCAAGGTCAGTTCTAACATTGGGCTGATATATTTTTTATATCCATCTGAATCCTGCATCAGTAAAGTGGTAAATATACCATAAGTCTGAAATCCCAGGTGATGAGTACTGACCTCCAGTGTACAGGAGTGTCTAAAAAGGTGTTTGAAAAAGGTCGCAGAGTCTTTTTTCCCCACATGTTGACCACACATTCCTTTAATGGTGCCGCTTGAGAAAGCAGGCTTCTTCATATACATATATTTATATTTATACATATAGGCTGAGGTTCCTCCATTATTTTTCCTTTAAGTATTTTGTAGATTTTTGTGGATTTTTCCTGTTTCTGATTGAACTCCATGCTCACATTACTGGACTACAACATACCTTTGCATGAGTCAAAGTTAGGGCCTTGTTGTAACCCCTTAGATCATCCTCTGCCTGAAACAAGCAGTTATAGCCTCTCCCTTTAAGCCGACTTTCTTCCGATTGCTTGCCACTCAGAAACAGAAGGTCTGGACAGCAGCTGGGTGGAGTTTCAGTGCTCATACGACCATATTTGAGATATCCTCTGACACCACAGTCTTTAGAGCAGTCTGAAGTGAGCTTTTGGCTCAGAGATGACTGGCACATACACAAACCTCATTACTTGAAATTTTGGCCATGTTTAAGATGAGCATCCCCTATTGTGGTAGTATAACAGAATATTGAAGCAATACTGTAGAAACTGCAAAAAAAACCAAAAAAAAAAAACAGGAGCTACATCTTAGAATCTACAGGCCTCAGTTAGTATGTTAAATGTCAAAGTTCATAACAGTACATTTAGAAAAGGACTCAACAAGTGTGATGTGTTTGGAAGGGTTGCAGGAGAATGGCAGCGAGGTTTGGTTTGCAAAGCTGCATGTGAACAAGACTTCTGGAACAATTTCCTTTGCACAGATGAGACCAAAGTGGAGATGATTGGCTGTGCACGTCTGCCAAAAGCCAAACAAAGCACATCAGCACACCTCATACCAACTGTCGATGACAGTGGTGTAGGGGTGATGATTTGGGCTGGTTTTGCAGACCTCAGGATCTTGGCACCATGAACTCCTCTGTGTAGCAAAGTTTTCTAGAGCCCATCTATCTAAAGCTCAAGCCTGGCTGAAACTGAATCATGCAACAGGACAATGATCCCCAGCACAGCAGCAAATCTACAACAGAATGTCTGAAAAGGAAAAGAATGTGTTTGTCCAACCCGACTAAAATGCTGTGGTAGTACCTCAAGAGAGCAGTGCATAAACAAATGCTGAAACTGAAAAAGGGTCTGCCTAACCATAACAACATGAGAGACTGATACAGAAAATGATCACCAAGTTAATGCTGTAAGGTTTTTCCTACTGAATCAGCTGCACTTAGTATTTCAGATTGTATATAGTGTAAAATGAGGAGTTTGTATTTGTATCAATTTATTCTCATATATAAGTTAATGATTCACTTCAGGCATAGTTTTGCTGTTTTGTGTGCTAAATTTAAACTAAGTGAAAATCATTTGCACTTCTAACAAGCACTAAGCCAGCCTCAGGTCATGCTTCCTTGACTGACAGGTATCCTATCTATCAAGGTCATCAATACTTTTGAGGTTTGCACATCCCGGCTGAGCTCTGTTCAGGCCTTCAGGGTTACACCCCTTTGGCCATGTTTGGATTTTATGGCTCCAGAAGTTGGCAAAGATGGCAGTGAGCTGTAAACAGGCTTCATAAATGTCCTCACTACATTTTTCTGATGTCTTTGGTTGTGGAATAAAGAATCCACATGAAATAAATCTACAGTGATAAGTACAAATGATCAAATGTCAATCTTAGTTTAGCCCTATATGAAGGTGAATCTAACCAGCCATCAGCGTTTTACATAATCTTTCATCAATTGAGGTGTTTTTTTCCTCGTCTGACAGCTTAAAATGCATGTAGGTTACCTGTCCACCTGCTTTTACATGTTTCATCTTTACACACAAACGTACTTATGACTAAATGCAAAAAAGAAGCACTGCAGGAACAATTTGTATGCTGGGAACTAAACACAAAGCAGGAAAACTATAGGTTGACACATTGGAGCATCCAAGGACAAAAGACACATTAATAAGCCAAGAACATTAACCGCAATTAATCAAAATAGCAGCTAGCACAGAGATTTAATCATGCGACACAGACAGACTCGGACATGGACTGTGAGGTGAAAGGTAAGTGAGAACGAGAGGCGCGGTTAAGGACTGCGAAGGGGGATGAGACAAAGTGAAAGATGAGAAAAAAGGGGAGGGGAGAGCCAAGAGCACTGTGACCAAGAATGATGGGGGGAGGCAGCAGTGGAATGCTGTGGATGAGGTTACACACATGCCCGAAGCGATTAGGAGGCTTTGGCTGCTCTGCCACCATGACTTTGACCCCTCCACCCCCACCCCAACCCACATCCTCCCTACTATTTATTCTACTATGCATCACAATAATAGGAATATGAGCTCAACATGCGATTGGGCGGTAAGATGTGTGAAAACCAAAATATCCACAAGGCCCTGCAGCTACTCTCTCAACATTTCCTATTAAGTTGGAGGCTGGGTGAGAAATGTTTTGGTTTTTTTTGTAACTGCTAGTGTGGAAAATCAAAAGTGTTGCAGGAAACAGCGGGGAACCAAATAATGTTTAACCACTTCAGTAACACGTAATCTAACATTTGAAAGCGTTTAAAGGAAGTGACCAAATATGGGGAAATGTAAAATACAAAACATATCCAAGAATGGCTTCAGGTTTTTCTGTTTTGTATCTAATGTTTGAACAAATATAACATGGATCATGACGCTGTACCAAATTACAACTTATATTTTATTTTTTATCTTACTGGACCTGTTGTGCATGTTTTTTCAGATAATCTTACACAGCCATTCCCAACGTGGAGAATGTTTCAGCCCACTTAAAAACCAGAAAATTCCCATGAGGCCCACCCAATCTTAAATCTTCACTCTAATCAAAATTCAAGAAAAAGCAGTAAATGTAGATGAAAGTAATAAGTTTGTATCACAAGTGAATCTCCTCCTATTACCAGTTTTCATTTACATAAATATGTATATATATATGTAACTGTAACAGGCCTGTGACAGACTGTACCCCGCCTCTCGCCCTATGATAGCTGGGATTGGCTCATGCCTCCTCGCGAGCCTGATAACAGGAAGAGATTGGATGAATGGAACGGTAACCATGAGACAAAGACAAGAGATCTGTGCTCCATTTTGTACAGTCAGTCAAACTTTGTTAGCAGGTATTGGTGTTTATATGATACACACATGCAATTCATGGATGCCCTTTCTACAACAAGCTAGCAAGCATTGCGAGATAAATTAGCACAGAACCCTCCCACTCAAAAATGGTCACTCCTCAACAGAGCTGGGCAGTAACGCGTAATCCGATTACTTTTTTCAAGTAACGAGTAAAGTAAGGGATTATTATTGGAAAAACAGTAATTAGATTACTGTTACTTAACGTAAGCACTCTGCATTACTGCGGTACTAAACCCTGATTTTGTTTGTGAGAGTGTCTCATAACAATGACGTACAAGTGTGCGACATCCGTGGCAGCAACAGACGTGTTTAGATCAACAGCGGATAATATGGAGTGCAGGAGAGAGTACGACCAAGCAGCGTTTAAAGCTCAGAAGTAGTGACGATACTTTGCGTTTGATTTAGTAAAAAGCGACAAAAACATTGTTCACTCTGCGTGGGAATAAAAGTTCTTTCTACAGCGAAAAATTTAACTTCAAATCTAAGCAAGCACCGAGCACGCTGCGGTGGGAATGTGAAATTCACAGAGAAACGCTCAGATCCCCCCACTGACATGAACGCTGCGGTACTGGGCAAACCTTCACAGGCCCCACTCCTGCTAAACAGGTGAAAATAGATTTAAGGGCGACAGGACTTAGTGCTGCTGAATCTATGATTTTATTTATTTGCATCTATTTGAGTGTAGACACAAAAAAATATTTTATTTTATTTTATATGCTGGAATATGCAGAAAATAGGTTTAAATGTTAAATAAATTTCTGCATATAATTTAATTCTTTCTTGATTCAATGTGCATAAAGTTAAAAGATTAAAACTAATAAAACGAGTTTTATAAAGAGATTTTTCCATTTGATTCAATTTTCTATGATGGATTATGCAGAAAAAATAGAATTGGCCTGAAAGGTCTATTGCTTTATAGCATATAAAAGGTTGTGCATCACTTTTTTTAAAAGTAATAAAGTAACTAATTACTTTTGAAAATAAGTCATCAGTAATTAGTAACTAATTACTATATTCAAGTAACTTGATCAACACTGCTCCTCACGCCATAAAATCAAAACATCTCTGACTAAAACACCAAACTCAAACAAGCTTAAGAATTAATTTTTTCTGTTTCTCTTAGGCTACGTTCACACTGCAGGTCTTAAAGCTCAATCACGATTTTTTGATCAAATCCGATTTTTTTGTCTGCGCGTTCACACTACAAATAAAATGCGACAGCAAACGCGCTCTAGTGTGAACCCTAAAAGCGGCCGGCATGCGCAAAAGAAGACGTCACACACAACGCGCTCTGTTTAGACCCAGAGCAAACAGTATTGTTTGACTGATGGCCCTTAATATAAAGACTTCGGACTTTACGTTTCCCAATTTTTGCTTTAAGTTATTTGTAAATAACCTAATAATGATCCTTAATGCTGTTTTAGAGAGGAGCGGTGCTTCAAAGGATAGTTGCAGATTTCCGTCAGAATCTCAGAATATGCAGTACAAATAAAATGTTCACGTTTCACTGACATCTACACTGGATGGCCAGGAAGCGTTCGCGATGTCTTCTCCGGAGCTGGTAATTGGCTGTAATGCGACTTGACCGTTCAAACAGCAGTCGCTTTCTAAAACTTCGGATATGTATCGGATTCAGTACCACATACAAAAGTGACAAAAAAAAAATCGGGTCAAAAAAATCGGATTTGATGCGCTTTCGCCTGCAGTGTGAACGTAGCATTTGTCATGTTTCTGATAAATAATGTATCGATTCTTCAGTCTTCAGACTTACTGGTTAGTATTTAAAAAAAAGTAGAGCATCACACTCTAACACTGGCACCTTAAAATTACCTCAACTGCCTGATTTCTGATTAAGAAATGATTCACAGTACTCACAGGGCACAGGACTTTTTTCACTTCACATTTTTTTGATGAATTCCTTTCATCTACTTTCACTACTGTATTTTAAATAAATAGTGATATAATATGACAAAAGGCAGAACCGCCATTAGTGAAGACAACACATGTGTCAGATTTTCACAGCAGATTGCAAAGGAACAGAAGAACCATTTACACTTTGGTGCTTGGCATCTTTCACAAACTGAAACCTGACAGCAATCTGGAACTAGATCCATCCTCTAACGTGCCCACCAGTAGCACTTCACCCTGGACTATACATAGAATACAATTGAATTTGTTACCTAATCAGAGTATAATAGTCATCCTCTTACTGAAGTTTAAGGTGACCTACAGCTTTACATTCATCACTTAAGTCAGGGGTTAGGACGTTTGACTAAAATGATAAATCGGTTCATGGGGATTTATGTAATTGCATTTAAAAACAAACCAAAAAAAAACCAAAACACAGCTGCCAGACATAATTTAGGCAGATCAAAGCGTATCCATCATCAAAGAAATCCTCTGGGTTTATTCTGCCAAAAATGGGTGGATTTCAGGAAGCTAGAGCATGTCAGCCATGATGAATCTCTATAAGCAACACAAGCAGAGGTAGCTAAAATTATAATGGTAAATGTTGACTTTAGTATTTATACTTAGAAGTCCATGTCTTGTCTTTGAGGCAGGAATTCTCAGAAGTCACTCCCCCCAGCCTCTGCTAAAAGGCTAAGAGTTAAATTTTAGTGCAACAAGTCAGTGAGCCGTTTGCTTTCCCCAAGAAGCACGGCTTTAAAATTACTATTATTATTACTATTATTACTAATTTCATCTTAACATCCCCCTCCGTATAACTTCAGTCCTTTTCAGCCAAGCAATATGAAACACCTCTGATACTGACCTGGCAAAATGGGCCGCAGTCCAAAAGGGCCTCGAGTGGGGGAGATGCCTCTGACGATGCAGTCGAATAGAAAGCTGATCTGCTCGCTCTCAGCAGATGCGAGCAGAAAAACACCAGCCCCTGAAAATAGACTTCATTAGTTTTAAGCTAATTTATGAAAGTGTATTTTACAGTTAATGATGAACAAGAAAGATAGTGCAACATTGGTGATGCCAATATAATAAAAAAAGAACAGGCTGTTTCTTGCTATAAATCAGTAAAACGAGACAAACTTTTCAATTTTGCAAAAAAACATTTCTACTTTTCAACTACCATCAAAATGTCCTAAACTGAGATATATTTGGTTACTATTTAAAATTAAAAACTATTTGTCTTTTACTTTTAAACCAGGACAGTCATTCTAATAGCTTCATAACAGTTACTTAGGTAAGTGCTCTGAGGTAAGTGCTAACATCAACACGCTAACATGCGCTCAATGTCATAAGATGTTTTTGACCCTTTCTGTTTTCATAGCTTACTATATGAGCAAATTAATATTACAGCAACACCATTTTCACCCGGGACCAGTGAGAACAGCTTTAATTCTGATGTAAAAAAAAAAGAAAAAAAAAAAAAAAAAAAAAAAGGCGGCCATAATCTTTACGTAAGTGGGACATAAAGTTTTTACTCCAAGCCACAACTTTCCTCAATGGTTCTACAAGGAAAGTCAACAGCTCGCCAAAAACATGGACCACTCAGATATTTTACAAACACAGCTGCTAATAATAACAACAATTAATCAAAGAGCATCTGTCAGTTATTATTGTTTTTTTTATGAAATCAAATGATTTATTTTTCATATCAATAAAAAAATAATTTCCTGAATAAAATACCACCTAAAAGTAGAATTTGTTACAATAGATAGATATAGATGTAGACAGATATAGAGATAGAGATGTAGATAGAGATATATAGACATGGATATAGAGATAGACATAGAGATAGAGATGTAGATAGATAGACATAGACAGATTATTTATAGTGTGTAGTATATGTAAACGAGCACTACATGAACCTTTTCAGGAAGAAACTGAGGCATGATGCGTTTCACAAAGCTGCAGTTATAGAGTATTACATAATAAAAAAAGTTCCTTCTTTATGGTTCCCAGTTTGTCTATTTCAACAAGTTAGAGTCTAATAAAGGAGGATTTAATATAATGGAGAGGTCAGAGAGGTCACGTTCTCCTGAGGTCTCTTGACCTCCCTCTGACAGCACAACGGCCTGCGCATTACAAAGTGTTGTTGTGTCATTCTGCGGCTGAAGCCACCAATGTCAAAGCTGCCCTTACACTGCTGTGGCTGTGAGCAGGGGTCAAAGGTCAGCACCAAAGTCTGCTCAAGTGTTTTAACCTGTTTAAACTAAAGATTTATTGCCTCCTTTGTGCTTTTACGATGGAGCTGATTAAGTGGTGTCTCACCTCATACAAATTTATATACACGCTGGTTTTGATAGGTGACTGCATTTTAGTTACACTACTAAATGCACGATTACCAAAAAAATTAAAAAATCCAAAAACAAACATTCAAAACAAAACAAAGAACAGGTGGCAAAGCTTTTTAGTTCACATTAATCTCTGCAGGAATGAAAACAACTCAAATGGACCCTTCTGGTCTCTGCTCCAAGAGGTGATAAAAACACAGCATCCATACAAAGTAACACAGCTTATAAAATCCAACTTTGTTAAGTGGGAAGTGTAAATGAGCAAGCGCCGAGAGCCAAGGTTGGCATTTTTATTTCGAAAGCAGCAGAGTCATCCAAACGGCTCAAGATGAAAGTCTAGCAAACTTTAACTACTTTAAAGTGAAATTCAGATTTCCTTCACTACCATGTTTGCAACCTTCAGAAATGCATGTAAACATTATCCAGTTTAACTATTCCAGGACGATAAAATTCAGCGACAAATAAAGAAAGTAAATAAAGTAACAAAACTATAAAAGCACTAATTACTGAGAGGTCATTTTGATTGCGTTTAGAGAAAATCGTTTTTCTGAACACTTTGGTACAGCAAAGGGTTACAAAATAATTATTATACTGACAACTTGTTACTGCTGGCTGCTTACACATGGGGTTAAAAACAAGCAATTATGTGCAGTCGTATGTTTTGGACATTATATATATTTATGAACAATAATACTTTCTACTTTTTCTAGCAACTAAACTGAAACCAAAGTGTGATTTTGGTTGATCATTTCTTTGTTGTAACAATGCTTCTTGGAAATAAATTTTATACAGTTGGAAAGCCTGATTATTTCCCCTTAAATGGTGCCACATTTGTAAGAAATAGCTGTGCCCACGAAAACTGTATTCTGCTATTAGCCTTTGTTTGGTTTTCTTTTACTTGATAATAATTACTGAAGGATGATGCAATTTTAGGTATAAATCTAATTGCTACTTTCTCTCATGTACCTCTTTGAGTGATCCTGTGTTATTCTGTGATTTAATAAAGTATCATATCCAACAGATTTCTCATCTTGATTAATCGTCCATTATTTTCCATCTGTCACTTTAGCGCTAAGCATTTCACACGCACACCTACACATTACTTAAATGACCATTCGCCCGTGGCGTGGACAAAAGGCAGGACAAATGCAGCATGCAGTTCTACAGCTGCTCTAACCAAAAGTGAGACACCCAGCACAGCTAAATCACTTCTCGCCGTGCTGTGGATAAACTGTACCGAGGGATTACATGTCAGAGGAATGCTCGGCCTTCGCCGCACACAAACACTGAGATGCAGCCTTCCTTTTCCCCCTTTTCTGTATAAAAGTAAAGCAGTGTTTGACCTTCTTTATGATAAGCCAGTAGACTACTGAAGGCTTATTGGTTCTTAAATGTAAAAAAATTTAAAAAATGTCATGTTTCCAGGAGGGTCAACATGTATCTTTAATGCTCCAATGTCTCTGTCTGTCCCCTCCAGGTGTTCACATATGGTCCTCTTCACTTTAATAGTTTCACATCTGTTGAATTTTTCAAACGTTATCTTATCACAGGGACGCACGCGGCCCGACGTGTTCAAACAGACCTTAAGGAAAACTCCAGAGCGATGCATGCTGCTGAGTTTTGGGCACAGCAGGGGTGATTATGAATCATTTCCTTTCTTGTTGTTCTGAACAGATGTTTTTCTAATGCTTCATCTGCCGAGTCAATAAAACGCAACGAACAAACAAGAACGACTGAAACATAGTTTGCTGCCTGTCACGCTGCGTGATCTACATTACACTTCTAAGCAATTCAAAGCAGCCACAGCAAGCCCACTCTTTGAATTTTGACTGATATTACACGTGATCAAAAGTGTGTGGACAGGAAAAAAGGCACAGAGCAAAAATCAAAGCTTAGAAATCAGATTAATGAAGCAGTAAAGGCCACCGGAACACTTTTGAAAGAGCGTCATGACCTGTTTTTTTTTTAAGAATGAGTCGAGTCGAGTTGAAGCTTTTGAATGTGAGTCATTCAGAGAGTACTTTGAGTTACCTGGGGTCTTTGGTATTACATTTCTGTGGAAGCACGAGCAATCAAAAGCAGAATTTCAACAATCTTGCATCTCAAAGGAAAAAGCAAGTACATGAAGAACATCTGAACAAAGTAAAAAATATTACACATGAGTCACAGCGTCTCCGTTCTTGTGATCACTGCGTTGTAATCATACGCTGTAGTATTCAGAGCCCGACCTAAACATAAGCTATACAATATTATTAGCCGATGTGGCCTTATTGGAGTGTATGCCACTGGATATGAATTTTAGACTACATGGAAAAACTTACAACCTCTGGCAAAGAACATGAAGTCGTCACACTTGGAAGATGTTCACTGAACTCTTTTTTTACTTTGCAGCAATAAACAAACCACAGATGTGATAAAGTGTTGTTTTTTGTTCCTTTTGTTGTTTACTATCTGAACAACTCTGACTTCATGAAACAAACTTCAAACTAATTAAATACTTTTGTGTAATGGCACATTTTTTTCCAGACATTGTAAATTTTCTGTTTGGGTTAAGATCTGGACTGTGTGCTGAGCATGTCAATGAGTCTGTCTGCATTTCCTTTCTTCTGTGACAACAAGACGCATCGTCATCATCGTGATGTCGAAAACTAATCCTAATCATAACCAAAACCACGCCCTCAGTGCAATAAGAAAAACGTAAAGCAGTCTACACCTGTGCATTTACTGTTGAGGTAATGACTTTCATCTCTCCTGCTCCATTTTTGCTTAATTTCTCAAGGCCTTCATCTTTTTTATGGCACCAAAAAAAAGTCCAAGCATCATCCCCTTTGGCAAATGCACATTCATCATTGAACGTGACTCTTAGCAAATCATCCACAGCGCACAATTGTGTTCGCCCACTCTAACCTTGTTTTCTTCCCATTATGTGTTAATGCTGGCTTTCCTTTGGCGATCCCATTTTTTACACTTTTATCACAAAACCACTGATTCTTCTTTCTGCCCATTTATGGGTTTTTGGTTTTTTTTTGAGCATTTTCAATTTTCTTCTGACTCTTTGACATCATCCATCTACCCTTAAATTTTGCTTTTTTACTCTTAACACTTTGCACTTTTCTTAGACACAGCTGACTGGGGAAAAACAAGGAGTTGTATAATCCTTTTGACTGACAGCTCTCTTCTTGGAGAGCTGCTTCCTCTCAATCGGGTGTAGCAGCTTGCTGAGGTCTGCAAACGCTCTTTTAACTGCTGACTATATTTAATATTAAAAAGTGTCTGTTTTACACATCCAAATCACAAAGTGATTCCATATTTTCCCTCCTCTGTGCTTAATCTGGGGAAAAACAGATCAATAATTAAATTAACTTGTTTGGGGCATGTTTCATGAAGCCAGAATGTTTGGCTTTTAAACAAATGTGCATTTGCGTCACATCTGTGGTGGTTTGTTTATTTGGTTCAAAGTCAAAGAGTTGAATGAACATCCTCCAAGTGGGGTGATTACATAATACTTCAAAGAAGGGGGTCATTTAAAAAACAGAAGAGCCACAAGGCCAAAATACATGTATGACATGACATCTCTAAGGTGACATGTTGAAGTTTCTGAATATGTGCTCTTCTAGCATGCGACTAAAACATCCATTCATCCATCCATCCATTCTCTTCCACTTATCCTTTTCAGGGTTGTGAGGGGCCTATCCTTGTTGTCTTAGGGCCTGAGGCAGGGTACACCCCTGACAGGTCGCCAGTCTGTCGCAGGGCTTGACTAAGACATAATAAAGTCAAACCTAATTTCACTCAATAAAACTGCAATTTCAAGAACAAAACCCTTTTAACCTTAAACCTACAGACTAAATGGACAGACTCAAAGGTAAGGAGCTGCCTGTGTACCATATGTACCATACAGAGCATAATGAGAACAACAGACAACTTAGAACGTGTCATCCTATAGTTTGACCAGCAGAGCAACTCCAACTCAGTTTCTTACCATTTTCACAGCTGAGCAGACAGCAGTGTGGATTCAAGTGTTGTCTTTATGTTAAGCTGATACCTAGCATGTGCTGTGACATCGTTACTCCAGATGCTTTTTACTGTGTAGTGTTAAAATGGGTTATGTGGCAAAAAAGACAAAAAAAACCAAAAGGTTGTGGGGTTTGGAAACAATCTAAATCCAATTTCCTCTCAGATTTAACCAAACACGTGTGATCAGATGATTGTGTACTCATCTTGTTACGTCACTAAAAAGCCAGGCACTTCGACAAAACTTAAAATATCTGCATCATATTGTTGCTCTGATTATACTCTGGAAATTCTGATCAGAAGTAACGATTCACATCTGCTCATCTGCTGCTTTAATGCTCCAATGAGCACAGTTTGGAAAAGCAAAGTGTGGACAGCTCTGTGATTTACTTAATGACACAACTGTGTGATTCATAGCTTTCGAAGTCCTGGAGGGTGAAGCACAGTTCCAAGAAACTGGATACTCCATACAAATGCAGCACTAGCCTTTCAATATATCATCTGTTTTAATCTATGAACATTCAAAGCACCCTGCAAAGATTTTAAAAAAAAAAACAACAAACTGACAGTTTTGAGCAGTTGAGAGCCACACAGACGATCTGCTGGAGCACTTTAACTAGTAAAAAACAGAAAAGATCTGCCACTGAAGCATTTTAGCAATGGTTTTACACACATCCCTTCTACTTCTGTCAAGATTAAAGTGCATGACAAGAACGCCAGTGCTAAATGTGCTAAATATATAACGTTCTGTGTAATGCTGAGCCAAACTGGCCAGTAACGCTCCCATTTGTTAAAGCAATAGTGGCTGCTTTTTAGCTATCTAATAGCTAATATTGATTCATCAGTAATGACCAGACAACAATATTTCTGGTAGGTTATATGGACAAATCAAAACATATTTCCAGTGTCAGTTTAGAGCCACTGAGCTGAGATGTTAAATTCATTTCACATCATGTGCAACATACAGCACACTTTGATCTTAATTTGGCCAAAATAGAAAAACTCTCTTTTGTGTCAGTGTAAAGACCCTTAACTACAAATCTATTACAACTAATCCACAAAATAGAAGTGTAGTTTTAACAGTAGGACTCGATAATGACAAGCTGCTAATAAGATAATGAAAAGGAAGACATCTGCCAGAATGAATAAATAAATGTGTAAAATTACAGAAAAGGTTCTGGTAGCTCATTGCTCAGACTCTCCTGTAATTACAAAACTGAATTATTTCATTAATTCACAGAAATTTTTCATTTCTATTTTTTTGTTTGTTTGTTTTACTGTGGGTCTATTGTAAAGAACTGAAATTTCTATAGTGGATAGTTTTTAAAATTATTTAATTACTTTGGTATGGTGCCAGTCTTTATCTGTAGGAAAGGCTGTAAAACCTTTGAAAACACAGCTTCCAAAATCTATGTACTCCTTTGTGTTTCCCAGGCCGTTTCTGGCCCTTGGGCCTTATGTTTGACACAACATAGTTTACAGACTGATGGATTGGTGGGATTTGCCATTGGTGGAAGGGGTTTTAGAACTGTGTTTCATTTGCATTGCTATAGTAACACTGTTATTATACTTAATGCTTTGCTTGCACTTTCTGCAATGACATGACGTCATTTGAAAACAGTCACTATAGGATCTTCCTACATTGGGAAATCATGGCAGGAATCATCATAGTCAGGAAAACACTTCCTAAAATCTAAATATACTAAAGAACACCAAAATTCTGTATTACAATAAAACATCTAAAGACGAAGGACCAACTCACACCATCAGCTGCCTGATAAAAGTTTCTATAAGAAGCCTTTCAAAAAGGAAGCAGGAAAACAAGGACCATACAGTCTTTCGTGACGATAACAGCACATGTAGTTGCTGAGGGCACTCTCTTTTTTTGGTTCATGAAACTCCACTGAGCATCTTCCTCAACGTGCCCGCCCGAGGGATGCCAGATGTACAACCAGAGAGCAAAAAACACACCCAGTGACTGACCTCAACCCACTAATCCTGATGTTTAAAGCAATCTTCTCCATGTAAACATGCAAATTCAAAGTTTGAGCATCACACAGGATCAGGTCCACGGATGCTTAACAGATGACCACGGGGTTTTAAAAGCGCTAAACCAAAGTACTAAAAGTCAAATTTGTTTGCAGGACGCAGCAGAGGATACTGTTTGTTGCTCTCTTCATATGCCCACGTTTGATAAATTATTCATCAGCCCAATCGTACGGACAGCAGCATGGTCAACATTAAAAACTGTTGAATTATTATTTCGCTGCAGGATGAGTTTTCATCCAAGAAGTTCTACGCTTAAGAACGGAGCCTGAAAGATTAATTTTCTCTGGACTGCTGGACCAAAATATTATTCCGGCAGACTATTTACTGTTCCTGTCACAGGAAAAAGGTTTTAGGTCCACTCTATTTTGCACAAGGCACATTCGTAAAAGTAAGGCAAGGACAAACTAATCATCAATAACAAAGACTCAAACTTCCTCTCCTCTTCTAGCTATATTTCCTCAGGCTATAAAGCATATTTTTTGAGTCAGATTTATTGTACTGAGAAAGAGCTTCTCTTTCACAGGCAGAAAGATAAGCATGAATCACCGCAAATCACAGCCGGTGATTATTTTGGTTTTTTGAGAGAGAGAGAGACACAAACCACAGCACGTATCGTGATTTAATGAGCCATTAGCCTCTAATGATGGAGAGATATTAATGTTATGAAAGGATGGAGATGTTTAACGCAGTCATACTTGAGTCTCTCTGTCTTTTCTTAAAAGCACATTTTCTTTGAAATTCACTGTCGGGGTTTAACATTCATGCGCTTTTTCTTCCAATTTTGTTATTTTAACATTATTACATTTTTGTTTAATGTCTTTTACTGTTTATGTGTTTCAGATGCCTCACTTTACAATCAGTGATTAAATTTTGCATGACATTTTCTTTGTCACTGTGCAGCCTAATAGCTAATTATCCCCTAAACCCTCTGCCAAGCACAAAATATTATTTTAATACCCATTTACATAAACTTAACACACTCAAATGTTGCACAAAACAGACAATAATTAAGCAGCTATAAACTTACAATAGCCACATCTTGTTCCTCCTTCAAACACAAATCCATTTGGTACAGGTCCATATCTACGCAGGTCTGGAAGGTTCCAGTGGCCAATAATAACAGGAGGGACATCCCGAGCAAGAGCCAACAAATTGTTGCACAAATGGAGAGTTGCAGGCCCGCTCTCCAACTTGGTCCCTGGTAAGACTCCAACACTGAATCTGTGAACTGAGAAACACACAGATCCTCAAATTTAACGCATATTTCAATAACTGTAAATGAGTTTTACAGTAAGTAGAAAGAGTGGAAAGAGGAACACATAAATGAGGCAAATAACCCTGAACACATTTCTTCATAAGCTGCGAAATACCTCCTATTTTGTCACTCTCAAATACCCAAATGTCCGTTCTGGGTGAATATATTTTTGTAAGTAAATCTGATGCATCAGCGTTCGACTTGCATTGCAGTGAAATATGCACCATTTAGAAAGCTATGAGTAATTATGTTTGCAAGTACATTACCTAAATATAGTAGCTTGCTAACACATCGCTAACATTAGCTTCTAGCAGCTAATTAGCAAGAGGGAGCTGGAAAAAACATCCTCTGGTATAATGAAGTGTAGGTATTTTGTAAGAGTTTTAGCCTCACTTTGGTATGAGGCTGAAAAATAAAGCTAACACAGAAACCCTGCAATACCTTAAGTGTCCACTGGGGCTGGTCCAGAAGTAATTCAATCCACACAGCAACCATGTTAAAATATTCAAGTTTAGAGTAGAACTGTTCAGAGCCAGGAAGGTTGCATAAACACTTTTTCTGAAGAGATAATTGTTTTCATAAACTGATATACCCTGAATATATTTCTCCAATTCTGTTTTCCATTGTTTAAAGTGTGGCCACTTTAAGTGGCAGGCATAGATGGTATAAAACGTAGCTAATATAACATCGTCGACTGGTTTTCTAGAGTCCTGTTTTGAAGGCTAGGGATTAGCATTTTCACAATCTCTATCTTGGTATTTAAAAAAAGAAAGCAAGCAAGTAAAGAAACAAACAAACAAACAAAAAGTCTACGGGAAAATGGCTTTCTGACTTGACATCTTTAAAAGCTTTCTGATGGGTTTATGGGCTCAGTCATTCGTTTTGTGTCATAATGAATAAAAAAATTAAATTTCATGAAGGTTTACGTGAAACTGGTGTGCAGTTTCACGGAAAACAAACTAACAAACTATGACTAAGATGTTTTTAGCCAATGAGTAAGAGTTTCACAGTAAACCATTTCGAAACTCTATGATACCATCCTGTCTTTTAGTAACCACTCTATTGTTAAGCATACATGGGAAGGAGAACTAGGAATTCAAATACATGAGGAGTCTTGGGAACAGGCTATAGCGAGGGTACGATCTTCCACCTCCTGTGCTCGTCTTGGACTTATTCAATTTAAGGTCATACACAGGGCGCATTTCTCTAAGTCTAGACTTTCTGAATTGTATCCAGAAGTGGAAAATAAATGTGATAAATGCCATGGCTCTCCTTGTCACCTTAGCTACATGTTTGTGTCCTGAGCTGGAAGGTTTCTGGACAGGGTATTTTGGTATTATGTCAACTGTTCTTGGGGTAACTCTTCATCCTTGTCCTCTGATTGCTGTATTCGGGATTCCTGATCGCTCACTTACACTTGATACTACACAAAAGGATATTATAGCCTTCACATCCCTATTAGTAAGACGTCTAATATTGTTGCATTGGAGGTCTGTTAAGTATCTTACTATTTCCCAGTGGCCTGAAGATGTCATGTTTTTTTAAAACTTGAAAAAATTAAATATATGTTGAGAGGTTGCACAGCCAAATTTTTCCACAAGTGGCAACCCTTTATTTCTTATTTTACTAGTCTAGAGGTATTGCCTGTTTAAATGTACTTCTGTTATCGTTATATCACTGTAATATGTTTGATGGCTGTGTTGATCTGTGTGTGTGTGGGGGGGGTTCTTTGTTTTAGAGTGTGGGTATATGTAAATGTATATATATAA